TCTTTGCCTGATTATGCCTTCTCAGTCCCTTATCACGTAGCCTATAAGAGCATGGCGCCAGTTGTTGTAGCCAGTTGTGGTGAAGGCATCTGACTTACTTGAACCGAAATGTCTACATGCATAGCAGAAGATGGCATCTTTTTTACATGAATATTCCAACCAATCTCTGTTTTGAAACCATGAGCTGCAAAATGAGCGCCTTACCCCACTGTACAGGCGAGTTGGGTACTTTTTTAAATATACCTGGGCAGGCTCTGTTTTGCAGAGGTCCTCTGGCACTTGCGGGCCGCCGAGGGGTGGCGGTGTTTCGGGTAACGAAGACGGCTGCGGCTGCTCCGCCTCTGTGGGCGAGGCGGGCAAAGCCGGCGAGTCGGGCAGGAGGACGTTAGTGTCCACGACAGTAACGTAATGTCCCCATGATCTGAACTGTTATTACCTGCAGTAGATGCAGTGTTACTGCTGGCGATAAGGGCTGGTTGTTTTAACCATTTTCTGATGTCCATCATTGACTGCTGTGTAAGCACCTTGCAGATGATTAATGTGCAGCGGCACAGGTCACATGCACCTGACATAATAACGTTACTTACCGTTTAAATTGATCAAATAAATGCAGCAGACAATGTTATTTAACCACAATTACAATTTATTTTGTATCAACTATATTCTTCTTCTTATTATTATTATTATTAGCCTACTACTATTGTTAGTAATAGTAGGCAAAATGTCATATTTTTCACTTTTCATTTTTTTTTTTTTTACTTTTCATTTTTCAAATGAGGGTGCATAACGACTTAACTGAGGGTGCAATGCACCCTCGTGCACCCCCGTAGAACCGGGCCTGGGTCTGATTTAGGGCAGGAAAACTTGTGAAATGATTTAGAAACGTTCAGGGCTGCAGGACGCTTAACATGCACGCAGCACAATGTTGTCAAAGAGCAGCTAGTTGTGTACAACTGTTGTGTTCCTCAGAAGAAAACAACAACAAAGCAATCGAAGGGGAAATGTGACCTCATGAAGTCTGACCACACAGAAAGAGGCCGTGACTTCCAGAAAAACTCATTTTAAAAACATGAACTAAAGAAGGAAGTACTTTTAGGATGTCAAATAAGTTATACAAATATGTAAGCTCCAGCTCGTTGGGATACATAAAGTGTATCTGGCTACTGACAAAGTTAAATATTAAATATCAATAAACAACAATAGTGGTGAGTAGGGATGCTCCGATCGATCGGCCGATACTCACTCTCTACCGATCGATCGGTGCTCTCTAAACATGCCGATCGCGAGAGCCGATCGCATGACATAAAATACATGACACTTTTCTCTGTGTGCGGCAAAACAAGCTCGCCAAAATGGCTTCACCGGTCTGGCATTATTTTAAGGTGTCCGAAAAAGACAGTTAGCTATTTTATCTACCTCTGGAACAAGCTAAACTAGTTATTATAAATATATGTATTCTTCACTGTCGGGTCACTCATCATTACTGGATCAGTGAGCTGCATGAGATACTGACAGGCTGTCAGGAGAGAGAGAGAGGGGGGGAGAGAGAGAGGGAGAGAGGAAAAGAGAGCGCTTCCGCTCATTTCTCCCGTGTTATTCTCCAAAGTGAATGTAAACTTGAATAATGTACATCATTTGAATGTAATAATTAAGTTGATTGTTGTTTGTGGAAGCTCCAGTGAATGAGCCCCATTAACTGAGTTTAAACATCACTTTAAATGGAAGATTTAAAGTGATGTTTAAATCTTCCATTTAGGCCCCGCCCACTCGATCGGATCGGCGATCGGTATCGGCCGATACTGATTTTGGCGATCGGTGATCGGCCCCGAAATTGGCGATCGGAGCATCCCTATTGGTGAGTGACCAGAGTTGGGAGTAATAATATTACTTTTGTTGGTAACGAAGTAGTGTAACGCGTTACATTTATAATTTAGTAATTTAGTAATCACACTAGAGTTACTAACATTGCCCCGACACGCGTTACTTCGTTACTTTTATAAAATAATCACACTCACTGACAGACTAGAGGGGTTTCCGCCGCAGGTTTATATACATGTAGGCCTATGTAATCTGCGCGATTTGCGGGACCACATCTCCACGTGCAGTACTGCATAAACATGGCTGAGTCTTTTCATCTGTAAACTGCCGCTCGCTCTCTTTTGTTGATCGCCCTCTCACGGGTGAACAGTTCAATGTCCCGCTTCATTGTAGGAATTCTGTCTCTACCACTTTAGTTTGACCATCTCTGTTACTAAGTTATGGAATACTAAATACATAAGTAATTAGATACCTTACCGTTACTGCGCTCATAAAGAATGATAAGAATAATGCGTCTTGAACTGGTTTCATTAATTAGTGTCTTGACGTTTCACAGACTGTTAGCTTGTTGTGGTAGGCTGGTAGCCTATTTTAGAGCATATACAAAGAAAGACTTGTGTTATGTCTTCCTTAATGCAATAGTAATTGGGGGTGCAAGTGGAGTCTCGCAGAGGCAAAACTGTGGCGCGCACACTGTAGGTGCGCCGCAGTCTGTGTGATCTGCCTGTAGGGAGGGGCGGGCCGGCCCTGCGAGTAAAGTAACGAGTAAAGTAACGAGTAACTTTATTCCTTCTCCCTGTACACAAACTCGCTCAGATCAGTCATTAGCCCGCATGGTTTTTCATACCACCGCTACGCTGACGACACCCAATTAATTCTGTCCTTTCCCCGCTCAGAGACCCAGGTCGTCGCACGCATCTCTGCTTGTCTAGCGGACATCTCTCAGTGGATGTCTGCTCATCACCTCAAACTCAACCTTGACAAGACTGAGCTGCTCTTCCTTCCGGGAAAAGATTGTCCCACTCTTGACCTAACAATCAACATCGGCACCTCAGTTGTTTCCCCGACTCAGACTGCAAGGAATCTGGGTGTGACCCTAGATAACAACCTGTCCTTCACTGCAAACATCGCTGCTACAACCCGTTGCTGCAGATACACGCTTTACAACATCAGGAAGATACGTCCCCAGCTGACACAGAAAGCGACGCAGGTTCTGGTCCAGGCTCTCGTCATCTCACGCCTAGACTACTGCAACTCCCTCCTGGCTGGTCTACCTGCATGTGCCATCCGACCTCTGCAGCTCATCCAGAATGCAGCTGCTCGCCTGGTCTTCAACCTTCCTAAATTTTCCCACACCACTCCGCTCCTCCGCTCCCTTCACTGGCTTCCGGTAACTGCTAGAATCCACTTCAAGACACTGGTACTTGCTTACCATGCTGCGAATGGATCTGGCCCCTCGTACATCCAGGACATGGTTAAACCGTACACCCCAGCGCGTGCACTACGCTCTGCATCAGCCAAACGACTCGCTGCACCCTCGCTGCGAGGGGGACCCAAGTTCCCATCAGCAAAAACACGTGGGTTTGCTATCCTGGTTCCAAGATGGTGGAATGAGCTCCCCATTGACATCAGGACAGCAGATAGCTTGCACATCTTCCGGCGCAAACTGAAAACTCATCTCTTTCGACTCCACTTCGAGCGATAGATTTATTAACAAAGCACTTATATACTAATAAAGGACTGGCTTATCTAAAGCCAGTTGAGTAGCACTTGAAATGTTTGGCTCTATGAAACCTGATGTACTTATATGATTCTGTTTTCTTCAAGGTTGTGTCTTCCTGGTCGAATGTACTTATTGTAAGTCGCTTTGGATAAAAGCGTCAGCTAAATGCAATGTAATGTAATGTAATGTAATGTAGAGAGTAACGAAGTAGTGTAATATATTACTTTTTTTTAGTAACGACCCCATCTCTGTGAGTGACTAATAGATTCATCCTGGACCTCGAACACTATTATAACTCTACGGAAACATTTTATGTTATCGTGTCTCTCAAAGGTTTATCAAAACATTATTTCCTACTTGTCATTCTTAAAAAAAAAAGAGATAAGATGCATTTATCTGTATCATGTTGTATACAATGTTTAATTAAGGGCAGGGGGTTCAAATGAAACAGAGAAAAAATGAATGGAGATTATTTTCATCAGCTACCAATCATTAGCTGACTCTTTTCTTGCAGATTTTTATATTTTATTCAAATGTAACTTATCTTTTTGTATTATTTAGCTATTGCAAATGCATTTATTTTATTTGTAACAGAAAGTCAGCGTCCAAAGTCAGGTCCCATCGCTAATTTTTGACATTTCAACAGCAAAACATGAATGGGAATTATATTTGATATTTACGACAAATGTACTTCTTTTTTAGGCCCTTGCCAAAAAAACAATGTAACTGTTGTAATTGTAAGATTGTAGTGTAGTACAAAGAGCAATATGCAGTCAGTAATGGAAAGTAACAAAGTACCATTTTGACCTACTTGGACTTCAGTGTTAAGTGTTTCCATTTTACACGACTATATACTTTGTACTTTGTACTCCTTATCATCTAAGAAGGAAATACTTTACTTTTTACTCCACTACATTTAACACTCAGTTATTTTATACGTGATCTCCTTACATGACATGATGCCCTACTAATACTGTAATACAAAAGTGACACATTACTTCATTTTCCTTGATAAAAACGGACTAATGTAACATCATATGATATAAATACTGTTAAAAAAAGAGCCTCTGTGCATAATAACTTGTATTTCTGAATACTTTTGAGTGCATTTTACTGATTAAACTTTTTTGTACACACTAATCATGTGATGAGCTAACAGCACATGAAGCCTTGGTAGTACTACACTTCAAAAGTGATAACATTTCTCCTTCTCAGTGACACAAACAGGTTAAAAATAATAATACTATATGATAAGAACACTGAAAAGAGCCAATCTGAATCATATTGTGTATTTAGGACACTATGAGTGAATTTTACTGATAATACTTCTACTTAAATAACATTTTGAATTCATGAATTGTATTAGTAATTCGGTCTTTTAACCCATAATATTCACACTTTCATTCAAGTTAAACATCTGAGTGATTCTTTCAATACTGTATGTATTTTAGCTACTTACCAAAAGCAGCAGAAAGTCCAGAGAGCAGAAGCAGCAGGGCCGTGAACGCACCACCGATCATGAGCATGTTGACAGGCCTTCAAACTAAGAGACTAAACACCGTAAACACCGTAAAAACGACTTCCTCCTCAACACGGAGAGGATAACAACATTTAAGTAAAAACGAACTTTATAAAAACACGTTAGAAACGGAGCGTTTTTCTAAACACCATGTGGAGTTCCTCTTCAGTAAAGTTCCCGATTCTCAGATGAATTTGTCTGAATCACATCCTCGCTCCAGGAAGCGCGTGTGTTTGTTAGTTAGTCAGGTAAGAGTCACCTGAACAACACCTTGATGACGTCACTGGATAGAGTACCTTCAGAATAAAGCTTTTTAGAAATGTTTTGATAATATTGCATTCTGTATAACATCATAAACACATTTTTAGATTATATTTATATTATTTAAATGAGTTTTTCTGCCGCTTCCTGCACTGTAGATCATTTTGTATTGGTTACTTATGTGTATTTTAATTTGTGCAAAGAAATGTAAACTAAAATTAAGATAAAACGGGGAATGAATGGGAACAAAACTGTTGCGTTGTGCCATTCATTTAGTCATGTAATTGTTACATGAATAAATGAATGGGACAACGCAACATGTAAGGAAATGGGCTACAGAAATACAAGATAAATGCATATATGTGATAAATAATAATAGATAAACAATAAAATAGAAGGAAGGAAACATCTTTTAATTTCTGGTTGTGATTTTCCTTTTGCACAGGTAAATCTGTCCCTAAGAAAAGCTGGTGTTTGTCGCCATCTGCTGTTCACTAACAAACAAGTGAACATTTTTTTTGTGGTCAGAACTACAAATTGTAAAAGAAAATCTCGAATCAAATCTTTTTGAAAAAATATTGAAAATGAAAAACATTCTGAAGAATACATTTTTCTCTGATTTCCTGAAGTCAGTTTTTCAATAGTTTTTCTCAGAATACTGAATGAACCATTTTTTGGATCTGAAAATGTCCCAAATCTGAGGAAAAAATCAGAAATCTGATCAATATGGTGTCAGGAATTGGAAATAGGCAGGACGACCTCTTTTTCCCATGATCCTCCTCTCCCTCTCTCCATATTTCTGCACACTCAGCTCGACACGTGCCATTAATCCTGCAAAGAGGTCGACTCCAGAGTCCAGACAGATGTTGAGCCGCAGCTGGATGTTCGTGTTTCATCAGAATGAACTACATCTGGAAATCTAAAGCAGAACGACTGATTAGTGCTATTTGTTTTATCTGTAAAATATCATATTTACTACAATTTTGGACAGAATGTAAGGAATATTTCACCTGGATGACTTTACATGAAATATCAAAGGTGAATTAATGTTTACAATACATGTCACACATTGCTATACATTTACCATATATACATACATATAAATGTGTATATCCGAAACTATTCAAAAGTATATAAAGTATATATAAATTAGTACAGTCTTAAACAGCAGTAAAATCCAACATTAATTCAGCAGTAATATTAAATCAGAAACATCATATATAATAATAAAACACTGACAGGGAACATTTTACTGCACGTGACTACTTTTACTTTTCATACTGTTATTTACATTTTGCTGATAATACTTAAATACTTTTAATTATGTAAGGTTTTAAATGTAGGATTTAGTGGAATATTTCCACAGTTTGGTAGGGTTTTTACTTCAGTAATGGATCTGATACTTCTTCCACCAATAGCAGAAAGAAAACTGCAACATTCATGCAGTTGCCAATACTTGTGGGCGAATGATATCCCTCAATGATAGATATAAGTCAAGTGCTTGTGACCTACTCATTGGGAACCCCATGCCTGATTCTTCCATTATGATTGTGCACAAATCAAACATGTCCTCATCACATGGAACTGAAGTTAGGAACTTGCAGCTCTCTTTGCAAGTGGGTAAGTCTTCACTGAATGGAACAAGAAGGTCATCTGCACCCCACAAATGAGGTGCCGTATACATGATATAGGTATTCCTGCGGGGACATTGGCGTTTGTAGAGGGCCTGATGCGATCTGCGTTCCAAACGTGTCTTATCTCATTCAAGTCCTCCTGCAAAAATAAATGAAAAGGGGGATAAATTGTATGTACCATATGGAATAATGGTTCCGTTGTGACGAAAAGGGAGCTGAGCCAGAAGGCAAAGCTCTCTGTCTACCGGGCCATTTTCGTTCCTACCCTCACCTATGGTCATGAAGGATGGGTCATGACCGAAAGAACGAGATCGCGGATACAAGCGGCCGAGATGGGTTTTCTCCGCAGGGTGGCTGGTGTCTCCCTTAGGGATAAGGTGAGAAATTCGGTCATCAGGGAGGGACTCGGAGTTGAGCCGCTCCTCCTTCGCGTCGAAAGGAGCCAGTTGAGGTGGTTCGGGCACCTAGTTAGGATGCCACCTGGGCGCCTCCCTAGGGAGGTGTTCCAGGCACGTCCAGCTGGGAAGAGACCAGTGCTGGAATTGGGCCGGTACTCACCGGTACGCAGTACCGGCACTTCTGGTTCTGACCCATGGAGTACCGGCACTTCTTGCTCAGTACCGGTGTCAGTACCAGATATGTTCGGCCTACCAGATATGTTCGGGTGTATTTCCGTCGCATCCGTCATCCGTCATATCCGTCATATACTCACCTCCCTCTGCTCCCAGCGCTATGCTGCCACACACCGGCCGTCTGCGGAACTGCAGCCGGAGGAACTCGGTACAGCTTGTTATGTGTGAACGATCTAGATCCCTCCGCTTCCCCATAATTACCGCGACCATTTTAACTTTCATGACAGAAATGGAGAGCTTTTATGCTGAGATAAAGCAGTACGTGCTCAATGGTGGTTACCACAATCTCACCATCGCCGCTGAAAAGCATGATAAAAGGAAGGCGTTAATTCGGAGGTCATCCAAACAATACCTGATCAAAGGTAAGTAACAGAATAAGACCATGGTTAAGTCACGAACATACGTTTTTATTATGAGGTATAAACCCCCTGTACATGTGACATCATCACATCCCTTTACTTATAGGGATCAATAAAGTATATATCTATCTATCTATTTATCTAATGGTGTTTTTTGGTGCAAAAGTGATCATACCTCTAATGGTTTATCATATTGCAATTCCAACATTTTTCAGTAAATCGCAAGGACTCCACAGCTTGTTTCTCCTTTTTCTTTTTATACACACTTTACATTACTGTAGTTGTTACGTCTAAACCACATTTGCCACTGGATTTCTTGAACAGCTTTTAGTCATAATGTCATCTCTACACATGTCTAAATGATTGTTTTGTTGTTCCTGTTGTGCCAGCTGGAGATTTGTACTACACATACAAGGACAATGAGAGGATGGTTGTGTGCACCAAGGACCAAATTATCAATGTCCTGAAGGAGTGCCATGATAACCTGGGTTCCGGAGGTCATGCAGGGAGAAGGCGCACCACCGAGAAGGTTTTGGCAACGTACCACTGGTCCACTATGCGGGAGGACGTGAAGAAATGGGTGGGAGTTTTTGACTGACTGACTGATTATTGATCTACAGAAATGTGTTGTATGTGTACATTGAAACAGAGTGAGACAGTGTGGATCTCATTGGCCCACTTCCCTCCACTGCTAAGGGCAAAAGGTACTATCATGATGGGCTGAAGCATGTGTAACCTCCTTTAAAGGTTCTAAACGTGAAGAATCTGGTTTAAAAAGAAAGGAAATCATTTACAGTGATTCTGTATGTATTTACAACATTCTGCATTTTATATTGCAGATACATTCTAACAGCGACTGATCTGTTCACGAAGTGGGTGGTAGCAAAAACGCTCTACCACAAAACAGCTGTTGAGGTCTCAAAAAAGATTGTAAATATTCTTCTCGATTTCGGTCTTGTCGAGAAGATCATTACCGACCAAGGACGGGAATTTGTCAATGAGGTACAATAATCTATCTAATACAGTGTATGTGTTATGTGTAACAATGTAATACGATTTTTCAGGTAATTTGGTAATTGGTGTACACTAAACCATCTGCAGGTCAACCGTGGTGTTTTTGATGCACTGGGTGTAAAACACTGCATCACTTCAGCGTACCATCACCAGTGCAATGGCCAAGATGAGCGTACAAACCAAAACATAAAAAAAGCACTTGCAAAGTAGAGGACCAGAATGACTGGGATTTACATCTGAGGGGCATTGTGGCGAGCATTAACACCTCAAAGCAGGTACAATGTTGTAACAAATGCAGATGGAATCAATACTCAACAGAGATACTAAAAGGAATTTTTATGCTTTCAGAGGTCAACCAAGTGCACGCCCTATTTTGCCCAGTTTGGGAGGCACCCTCGCGTCCCGGGTGTTATAAATGCTACAGTCAATGACAGGGATGATACCTCTGTTTTGGTGCCTGCTGATGAGGCAGAACAGCAGCTTGAGGCAAAGGCTGCAACCATTGCAGATTTGCACTCGAAGGTGAGAATAAAATGGCAATATTTAAAACATAATAACTCCTAAAAAATGCAAGCGTATGTTAAGGACTGTAAATGATAACTGTTACATATCTTTCTCAGATTTACCAGAACATCCAAATAGCACAACAGAGACAGAAAATCTCTTTTGAAAAACGCAAGGGAAAGAATGTGAAATCTTTCCTGATTAACGTTGGAGATGAGGTCCTAAGAGCGAATAAGAGGAAGGAGGGCCGAAAAGGTGGAAAACTGGAGTGCAACTGGTTTGGCCCTTATGTGGTTTCCTCAATCACCAACAAGGGTGTGGCAACCCTGTTGAGCTCAACAGGAGCTCAGCTGAGACAGAGTGTGAATGTGTCTCAGCTGAAGCCCTTTATCAGGCCTATGTTGAGAGGTATTTTGATTATCAATACAAGGACACATTTTAGGTATACTTCATGTGTGGTACTTCAATAATACTGTTTATTTTGTGTCTATCTAATAACAGCTGAACCGAAGTTGGATTCGGAGGGGTCAGTTGCTGACCACCAGTATGCCCTCTCTGGTGCGAAATACGCAAAGGATCTACATCCGATTCAAGACAAGCTGGTAGATATATGTTTACTTCATGCACAGTGATGGAGGTGCATTGTTTTGATTTTAATTTTTCTATGTTTTCTATTGGCTTGAAGTATGTTTTGCAATCTGTTATTTGCAGCTCAGCTATGTGCTAGACCACAATAGGCCTGGAGCAGAGGTCATTGTGAAGGAGGGTGATGTGTGCCTGACCAGAGAGGACTTTTGGAGCCTGGGTCTTCCTCAGTGCATGGAGTCAAATGTAGGTATACTTGAGCTTTCCTCCCAACTTCATCTTGTCTCAAATAAATGGCACAGGTAACTTACTGTTGTTACTGTTTCAGATTGGAAACACGTGCCTGAAGATGGTACAAGAAGCCACCCAAAGACATGTACGGTTTTCAACAGACATCATTGGCCTGCTTTTTTCTTTTGAATAACACATATTTTCTAAATAGCTGTTTAGTGGTGAAACTCCAATCTCGTGAAGTGTGGTTGTCTCTTGTTGTTGAACATACTTCTATGAAGATTTCATTTTTTTTGAAAAACTATCAATATAGGGCAAAGATATATACATCGTGGATATGTATGTGGTTCCTACCTGGAAGTCCAAAACAGCTGACGTGTTGGCCAGTTTTCCAGTAAGTTCCTGTTGCTTGAGACCTATGTTTCTTGAAATTGATATACAGCAACTTAAAATCCCTTGTTTAAAATACTAGGCTGACCAATTGGCCACCAAGGACATGGTTTTCATCCCTGCCTGGAGTCGGCAGCAAGGAAAGGCAGATCACTATTTGCTTTGCGTGAGTCTGTTCCAAATGATCTCACCAGCATGTACAAAATGAACATAAGTTGTGCTGTGTGGTTTTCTTCTGGTGTTTGATTATGTCTAATTTCAGCTATTTTGTCAATGGTTGACAGGTGATCAAGCCAGCAAAGAGAGAGTTATATTTGCTCGACCCTCTTAAGCCAGATGGCTTTGGGGACAATTCCTACAAGGACATATTTAGGTTTTTTGTAACATGATTACCCCCCTCACCGTTCTGTGGCTTGTATGGGAGTTCTAAATAGTTTATAGTATTCTAATACTGCAGTAACCATCTTGTAGACCAGGGGTCTGAATCTGATCAAATTCATTTATAATATATCTCCATTTCCACAAAGTCTGGAGTGTCCTTAGTGGAACCAAAAGAAAAAGAGTCTGCAACAGGATGCTATGAATTATAATATTCATTTTGTTATAAGCCTTGTTCAAAGGTTGTTTTCAAGTTCAGCTTTGTTCAGCGGCTGGTAAACGTATTTTTGTTTGTTTTATTTTAGCCCCGTTCAGTGGCTTTCATAACTTTCCTCTTTTAAGGCATGCAATAGTTCAATGTAAGGAAATCCAAAAACATGAATTATATTGTGTATAGCGTTCCTTCACCAAATCAATTCCCATGTCTTATCATTTCTTTTGACAGTGACCTAGCGCACCGCATTGCTCCAGGTCAGTGGACAGTAAAGTTCGGCAGAGACGTCAAGGTACATTTCTCCACCATCTCATACACCTGCTTTCACATGTCTTTATTTTCCATTTGACCATGAACATCACTGTTATATTCCAAATTCTTACAGGGTTAGCCTCACCAAACCACGGGCAATGACTGTGGTGTCTTCATACTGATGGTAAATTCCTCCCTTGACACTTTTTTTTAAGGGGTTTTGTTAGTTTTTGAAACTCATAACTTAACAGATCTTTATCCTTTCACAGTATGCACTCAACTTCAGCACAGATGCTCCACTTTGGTTTACCGAGGTCAGTATTTATCCTCTGAGTTAGTATTTCAGGGGGAAGAGGGGGCTAACATTGAGTAGACAAATGATGAGGTTCCATTCATTTTCAACTTTATTATTGTTACATTTTCTTTTAGCGGGACATAGCACAGATCCGGAAATGGTGGTGCATTATGCTCATGGAACGGTACCAGATTGAAGGGTAAATCATACATTTTAAATGTTACTTTATAGACAACAGTTTCTTTGACACTGATTTACATTTTCATCCTGATATTATGTGATTTTTATAGCCACGGACAGAGGTTTTCTTACTGGACCAATGAGGCCGAAGAGCTGCTCAAAGGGGCACTGGAGCCAGTGTACAGGGTCTCAAAGAAGCAAAAGACAGAACATGAGGTCAATAGGCACACTCCTGTTTGTGATAAAGAAATGTAACAATCCAGATTATTTAACACATGCATACATATCAATATTGATAATTGTATACACATGTAATTAAACAATCACATGACCCACAC